ATTTTTATGCTATCATGAATGGCAATTTCCAAATTAATTTTTCAATTATTTGTCTTTAATGTACAAACAAAAGTTAATTTCTGTATATTGATCTTTTCCAGAAATCAATCTTGTTTGTAAATACTTTTGGATTTTCTACAAATGTAATAATGTCATCTGCAAATAAAGACAGTTTAACTTCTGTTCCAGTCTTTTTACTTTCGTTTCTTTTCCTTGTCTTACCACATTGATGAGGACCTCCAGTATAATATTCAATAGACGTAGTGATAGTTGACACCTTATTCCTAACTTTAGCGGGGAAACATTCACTATTTCACCACTGAGTATGATATTCTTTATCAAATTTAGAAAGTGCTCCCTCTATTACTAGTTTACTGAGAAATGTTATCATGAATAAGTGTTGACTTTTATAAAATGCTTTTTCTCCATCTGTTATGATCAAGTGCTTTTTTCTTTATTCCTTTGTTTCTTTTTCTTTATTCCTTTAACACAGACTGAATTTCAAGTGTTAAACCAACCCTGTATTCCTGTAATAAACAATGCTCTGTAATCAATTGTGATTGATCATGAATGGCTGTGATTTACTATATCATTGAACTTTATTGAAGATATTTGTAGATTTTTAAACAGTACATAAAAACATATTCACTTACCACATTGATGTTCTAGAGGCCACTAGACTGGAGAAATGATACTTTTCTGAATAAATGGTGCTGGAATAATTGAATCATTATTATATGGAGAAAAATGAATCTTGACCCTTATCTCACATTTTATACAAAAACTAATTTGATGTTATGATACCCACTTTTCAATGTTAAAATAATGAAACTTCTAGAAAAAAAGGCAAATTGCTTCATGACTTTGAGATATAGGCATTATGCTGACATGCTATTTTTGGTAAAAAGTATCAGTGGTGGCTTTAGGATGTGATACAGGGATTACAAAGATCAGAATTCCACCCCAACATGTTTTAATTAATTTGCACAGTATCTTATATATTGAATTTGAGTGCCTTTAAGTAGATACATAGCTTCAATTGCTTTAGTCTTCATCACTTCCAAGGACTTCCCCCAGACTAATTTTTCCTTAATTTACCTGCCTGAACCCTGAAACATGTAACTTTATGATCCCTGGTCTATAGCATTAATGTACCCAAAGAACTATTACTGCTATGTTTTAATGGGGGACTCAGAGCATGTCATCAAAGAATGTTTATTGCTACTGTCATAGTATCTTTGTTTTATTGTTCTGGATTCCCAGTGATTACTCTTATAACTGAATAGTTGAAAACCCCCACACTGAAGAACTACTTATTTTGCATATAGGGAAAGGTAAAGTAGTAGACTTTAAACTTTCACGAGTGATATATGGCAGGTTTTACATTACCATGTCTCTCCATGTGCATGGCAGGTATGCATATCAGGCCACAGAGGAACACCTCCCAGCAGGGTATGCTCATGGAGGAGAGAACACAGGACAAGATTATATAAGTTCATAATCATATAGCTACCAAAGGGCATGGGAATAGGGGTTTTTCTGAGATTTTGGCTTCCATCACAACTCTTTCTACATGAACATGATCAAGTCCAGAATATGCAAATAAAAGAACAAACAGCATTGTTTCCCCTACTACGTATCTTAGGTGGACACCCTCAGCAATAAATTAATATTGAAGTCAGTGTAATGGGGATGGGCAGGATCACAAAAAGGAAAAACAAATCCTAAATGGAAGGTGCAAAATTGGGAGCCAGCAAGTAATTTGATGCGGCTGGAGCACAAGGTGCCAGAAAGAGACTAGGGTGGGATAAGTCTACCAACGTATTGTATTATTGAGCAAGGCAATCTAAAACTGAAGCATACACCCTTTTCACCCCCTATCATTGTGACCTTAGAGGCATAATGAAGTTGGTTTTTATTTACTGGTTACTTACAATACATGAACTTATTAATGACTCCTTATCCAATGTGGTCACCACCTCAGCAACTGGTTTAATGTGATAACTATGTTTCTAGTCAAAACACTTCTATTTGGCAGTCAGAGCTGGTCCAGAAGGAGCCTTGGCTTCACATAGGACATGGCAGAAACAGCAAATTTGTAACAATTAAGTGTAAAATCAAGTATCAAAAAGAAAAAGTAAATGGAAAGCCAGTTAAGATAGTAAAGTGGATATAGCTCTCTTATCTTAACATTTTTTAAACAGAAGAAGTTTCTCATAACATGTGTCATTGTATTTAACAGATACATATGATCTACCTCTATGAGCCTGATGTAATACTCAATTTTCTGATGATTTTGTTCAGTCCTCAAAACCCACACAAAATTGGCATTATATCTGTTATATGGGTTAGGAAATCAGAAATTGCTTCCTGAGGTTGACTGCCCTGCCTTGCCTTGGTACTTCCATGGCCGTCACCCCAAACCCAGACAGGTATTTCAATTCACCTGAAGGACAGCTGCTTACCAAATAACATTCAATGGCTTATCAACATTTGATTGTCCACCAAATAAAAAAGTCCAAGTTCTTACGCATGTTCAAGACCTTCTCTCCTGCCCCTCCACCCCCAGAGTTTTGCTCCAAGTACCTTTCCATATTTTCCTCCCATCCATAAATCCGACATTTAGGTCAAACCAAAGCTATTCTATGTACTATGATTTTCATGGAGTTACCTCTGCCCCCAGACTACTGTTTACCCCAACTCCTGTCAAAGTATTTCCTGACTTTTAAAGCCCCATTCAAATGACATCTCCTTTCCAAAGTTGTCATTAATTTCTCAATGCTCATAGCATTGTATTGCACTGGGGGTAAAAGTTAATAGCCAGCATAAGAGAAGTTCCAGCTGAGCCTACAGGAAATGCAAACCTCTCTGGACCTCTGAGTGGGGAGCCTCCACCTAGGCACACTTGCATGACCCACCCGCAGGAAGGGAGGGGAGCCTGTGATAAGGAGGTTAGTACAGAGGTCCCTGCAAACCAAGAACGGGAACTGGAGAGCAGAGCACATCATGAAGTCTATCTCCCAGGCTGGTCCTAGACCAGCTGGTGTCTGGATGTTGGGGGAAGTCATTGAGAAGATGTGACTGCCAGTGACCTGAGAGCTGGACCCTTAGCACCTCCTCTACCCTGGGAATGCAGGTTCTGCCTGCCCATCTGGCTCCCAGAGGCTGCCTCCAGGACACAGCCTTGAGATAGTGATGTGGTGTTGAGACCATCTGGACAATATATGTTCAGGCTTCTATAAAACCGTTAAGATTTGGCGGGCAGGTACAGAGACTTCCTGTGGCTGCCCAAGACAAGCTTCATATGCAGGTTTCTTTTTCTTATTAAACCTGCTACCTGCCAACCTGGAGTGGCTGACGCTTTCCTTGGTCTCTCCCTGCCCTCAGTGTATGGAGTAGGTTTCAGATTCCTGAGGCACTTTCAGACCAACCCAGGATCCTATGCAGAAAGGAGGTATTGGGCAAAAGCTAAAGGAGCCATTTTCACAAAAGACTCTTTAGAGATAGCGGGGCATAAGCAGTCTTGGATTTGTCTGCATTCAAACAGTGTAATGCAAAGACAGGTTGAGATTTTGGCGCTTCCTTGCTTAACCACTGAACACTGCCCAGCATTCACAACTCATGTGCTCCGGCCCCTCAACCACAGTGGGAGCCCAGAGGTCTGAACAGAGCACAAGGAAACCATGTGGAGTAGACTTGTTTGTGAGCTCATATGAATCCCCAGAATCCTAGGGAATCCCCAGAAGTACTTGAAGAACACATTTTAGGTGGCCAAGACTGTGTAAGCAGCCTGGGGCAAAAGTCTACATAGACTTTGTGTTTTTGTCATTGGTTTAGTTTCATTTATGTGCACAGTCAGCCAGCCCTGGAAAAACTTGAGTTATGCTGATATGATTTATGACTTGAAATGGTTTAAAATGTACCTCTGTATAACTATCTGATTTGATTTTCATAAAAACCATGTGAGATGGATATTATTATCACCAGATTTTCCCCATAACAATGAATTTGAGCTTAGGGTTTATTGTGGGAAGAGTCCAGGACTTGTCAGCAGACCTAAATTTGAGCTTATTCATCTTCTTATGGCTGATGATCCTGGATAAATTCCAACCTCATGAGCTTCAATTTCTTACCTACAGGACAGTAATAACATTCCCTTCTACATGGAGATGCTGTGAAGCTCTGAGATGAACAACTCCTGTACAAATTTAAGAAATTCTTATGGCACATGACTATCTACCACTGAATTCATCTTCCTCATAAATCAGTTGTTCCTGTATGTGTCTCAATAGACTAAAAATAATGAAAGGAGACTATACATGCCTCATTCATCTCTGTGTCCTCTTGTGCTGCACAGAGTGGGTACTCAAGAGGGTGGTGTGGAACCCCTCAGGGATGATGAATTTCCCACCTAGTAGGAGTGTGCTGGAGAGGATTCAAACCTCAGAACTGCCTGGACTAGACACCAATCTGCAGAGTCTAAGATTATTTATCAATCAAATATATAACAGATACAGCTATAATAGGTCAAATCAAGTTTCCTGGGAACATAATGCATGGCTGAGATGGCCAGAGCATTAGCCACTATGAGGGCAAGGGGTGGTGAACTTTTTCTGTAAAGGGCCAGATAGTGAGCATTTCAGGCTTTGCCGGTCACCCTGTCTCGGTGCCAGCTCTTCAGCTCTGCCATTTTATTATGACAGCAGCTGTACCGAATATGCAGGCACATGGAAGTGGCTGTATTCTAACAAATTGTATTTTATTAAACAGGTGGTGGACCGCATTTGGCCTGTGGACCACAGGTAGCCATCTCCTGAGATAGACATTTGACCTGCTGCCAGGAGGATTTACGACACAAGAAGCTGAAAGTAAAACCAGGTGGTGACAAAGAATGGAAAAGTTGAAATCAGTACTAGTAAAGTTCTCCATTAAGTTTTAAAAACCAAGAAAAGAACAAGTACATAATTGGAGACAAAAGAAGTTTCATGTAAAATATCTACTGAATTGGGCACAAATACATTTTATTCTAGAAGTGTGAGAAGGAAAAAATAGTTATTTCTGGGCCAAACAGCGCAATGTGGTTTCTTAAAAAAATCTAACATGGTTCTAGATTTCATTAATGAAAGCAGAGCACCCAGAGCAAACAAGGTGATGATCGCAGGGGAGCGGGTCTGTGTCTGCCTGAGTCACCACCGCTCTGTCACACCCACCCCAACACAGACATGTAGGAGGTGTTTGCCGGGGAATAATCACTCCTACGCTCTGCTTGGGTGGAGCAGCAGGTAGATACTGGAGTGTCTGCTCTGTGCTGGATTCAAATGTGAAGAACTGGTATTTGAGCTAAGAGCTGAAAGGCGGGGGTAAAGAGGAGAAGAGGGGTTGCAGGACAGTACCCCCGGCAGGGGCGGCACCAGAACTGCTCTGATTCTCTGATGGGACTCAGTTCTGCTCTCTTTCCCTTTAATATCCCAATTAAAATGCAGGTTTCTGGAAAAAGTGGCGAAGGGTGTGTGTGTGGAGAATATCATACTTTCTAAGAAGTCTTAACTTTAGCTTTGTTTATGAAAAATATGCTCCTTTACCAGAGAGAAGAAACAAATGTGTTGACATGTTTAAGGAAACATTTGAAGTATTTCAAATGAGGCTATAAAGGGAGATGAATTTAAGGGACTGGTAGGTTTACAGTGGGAGTTCTCATAGCCACCAATAATCACCTTGCAGAAGAACTAATTATGTTTGCAGAGGACATGTACAACTGATAAAATAATTAAAAATAAATTGCTCTCCCTGGAAATGCAAATGACCGAGTGCTAAAGCAACCTTGTTGGTCACATAGACAATAAATAGATGTGTTTTCTCAAGTCTGTTAGGTGGCACTGATTGATTTCCAATTCTGGCTACAACAGGGCCTGAGCAGCTTTTGAAACAAAGGAGACCTCAGGCCCAGTGGGCACAGTTGTTACATGAAATCTGCAAGAAGACAGGTGGTGAAAGCCTTCAGCCATGACATTCCCCAGCTCTACCCCAGACTTCTGGTTGAGAATAGGGGATCCTGAGAAATTGGACTTGAGCCACGGCTCCCCCAGCACTCAGTCTCTGCTGGAGCGGAAGGGGGTGGTGCACTGTTCATCCCTTCTCCCTCAAATAACTGCCACAACAGCCTTTCCTACCACCTGGGGCTGTCAGACCAAATAAGGCTAAGAACCAGAAGCCAGGGGGAAGGGGAGACAGAAAGCCTCGGGGGCTTGACTGGAGCACTGCTATGAAATAAAAAAAAAAAAAACCTTAGCAATGCGGTAATAAGTCTTAAAGAGAAAAGGAAAAAAAGAAACCACGCTACAGAATATGTTACCATTTCATCCAAGAACCAATACTGACTAAGCACCTACTATGAGTGGCATTTATAGATGGGATGGAGGAAAACAATGGGATTTCTGCCTTGAAGGAAGTCACATCCTTGTCGGGTTGCAGATTTCATGTAAGTGACGGACATGTTCCCACTTCCTTTTGCCCTGACATCAGGCCCCTACTTCCACCTCTTACATGGAGACAAAAGATTCCTTAAGAGCCAGTGTTGTGACTGGACGTCTGCGAATGTTTCCAGGGAGCCAGTGACGTAAGAGAGGAGAGCAAAGGGAAGCCTACCCTGGCTTTGCCTCAGGAGGGCCTTTAACTGCCAAGAGGCTGCTTGAGGGAGGCACTTCTCTCCATACAGATGGGGGCCCTGAACCTCTGCAAGGTGTGGCCAATGTAAAACGGGGTAATGGTGTCTTCTAGTTCATGGGGGAACTGGAGGGGTAGATGAAGTAATCCACAGAGAAACACGTCACAGTGCCAGGAACTGCATACACACTCAACAGATGTTCCATCTGACTCCTAGGAAACTTGCCCGAGGCCACAGACAGATTCACATCCGGGCCTGTCCAACTGCAAACCCGAGCTCATTCATGGGGTGGCAGGCACCTCTCAGGACTCAGTGGTCATCTTCTTCCTCCTCCTCTTCCCTCCTGTTTGTGGACCGGTCTTCAGTGCCTTTCAAGTCCACCCAGAGAGCCTTTTCTCTCCGTGTGTTCAGACTCAGGGTTGACAACTTCCTGGTCTTCCAGTATAAGCAGAGGAGTGAAATGAGCAAAAGAATGAACATAATGCAGGGGCAGATGATCAGGAAATAGAGTAAAGGTGCTGATGAGCAGATCCGGGAAGGAAATGTGGGCTCTGCAACCAAAAGGAGAAAAATGAAGAGAATAATTAGTCTCCAACTTAACTGTACGCATCAAAGATAAACACTCCTGGGAGTTAGTCACAGGCAAATAAATGTAAAAATAATGGAACAAAATAGCAGTCAGCCCAGCAAACCATACATATGTGAGGAGGAAGGAGAGAGTGCCGGGAACAGAGAACTCTGGAACGGGGCTCTTCCCACCTGACTGCCCTTGCCCGGCAAGTTCCAACCACCCGAGGTTTCAATGACCTACTTAAAACTAACAGCCAGCGAGAGAAGTGGAACAAAAAAGGAAACCTCTCCTTTAATCTTCTTTCCTCAGAAAAGATATCTGTAATTCAACCCTCATTCCCAACTCTGTTGCAGGTCCTGAATTTTCAACTAAGTATTCCCACCGCCACTTCTACACACACACACACGCACACTGCACCCTCTTCTAAAACAGCACCTACAGTGAGAAACACCATCCCTTCTGACTCTCCCAATGGGTCTCCCACTCCCCAGGCTCCTTCCACAGCTTCTCTCCCATGTGGTGCTGACTGTCGCCTCCACCAGGCATATTCTCTGCACCCTGATCCTCCTGATCCTCGGGTCCTCTGGCCTTGCTGGGGTCACACCTCCTCCCCCAGGCTGGCCTGCCTCCCTTGGGCACAGTGCTTCTCTTCATGGTCCTCTCACACATCCCTTTGTTTAGACCTCTTAACCGTCTCCTCTGCTTCATCACAGCTACGTGCGTATGTCTGACTGCACCACTTGCTTCTCTATCCCCTGCAGTGCATACCACATGGGCTTGATAACTTTTGCTGAGTTGACTGCAACCACATGGGCCTGAAGTCCCTATGTGATGGCACGCTGAAGCCCATGACGAGCCTGCAGGCAGGGGCAGCGGGCAGGCAGCACTATGAGCATGAACACGGAGAGCGCGCACAAGCAGTACAAAGTGCCTCCGGCCACACAGCCAGGGAAGCAAAGCTGAGAGGACGGCAGGTGCCTCAGGGTCCAGGGAACAGTGCCTTGAGTTACTAGCAGAGGACCAACTCTGCAGTCTCTTGGTGCAGAAAGACGCATGTGCAAAGAGACACCAGCTACTAAATGCAGTCTTCCAACTTCATGTATTTATGGTAAGATATATGACATCAGGGCTGCTCTGAAAAATCTGATGCTAATAGTAGCTGTGCTTTTATTTGAAAATTGTAATGACATAAGCAACTTCATCTTCAAAGGTTAAGCTAAAGGATTCAGGGGATTATAGACTGTTAGAGATGAAAACAACAGGTTTAGAGGTCATTTTGACCAACCTCATGGTGCATCGCTAATGCATTTTCTGCATCGCTAATGCATTTTTCACCTTGAGAGGCATCTCTTTGTTGAAAGTCAAGAAAGAATCTAAACATTTGAACAATTTCAGCACTGTGAGCTTCTGTAAGTCCGGGCCTCTGTCTTCCTTATGCATCTTCTCATTTTGTGTGGCACTTTGTCCACAGGTCATAGAGGGAGACTGATGAAGACATCGACTGCATGAGTGAATTCTGCACACCCGAACCCAGAGGAGGCTGCCATCATGATGCACAGGGTGAAGACCATCCCTGAACGTTAGGCTGGCACCTCTGAGCAGGGCTGATGAGAGCTGCAGGGCTTTGTTTCCTGGATTTTGCCCAGTGTCATTTATTTTCTCTATCCTAAATTCGGTTGTTGTTTTTGCAGGGGTGGGCAATGATAAAGCTAGATTTCATATTCTTTTTTTTTTTGTGGCAGAAAAACATTGTCTTTATTTGCACACGACATTATCATCTATTTAAGAATCTGATGGAATTTACAAAAAAGCTACTTGAACTCATAAGTGAGATTGGCAAAGTTGAAAAATACAAGATCAATACACAAAAATCAATTATACTTATATGCTAGTAATATATAAATGGAAGATGAAATTATTTTTTAAAATGCTCTTTACAACTGCATGAAAGATGTGAAACATGTTGACAAAGTACATGCAAGACCTGTATACTGAAAAGTACAAAACTTTAAAAGAGAAACTAAGGAAACCCAAATGAATGGAGCAATATACTTTACTCAGGGTTGGAAGACTCAACACTGTCAAGATATCAATACTCTCCAAATTGATCTGTAGATTCAAGGCCTACAAATCAAAACCACAGCAGTTTTTTGGAAGAAATTAACAATCTGATTCTAAAATTCATATGGAAATGCAAATGTCACACAATAGTCAAAACAACTCTGAAAAGAAATGAAGCTGGAGAACTAATACTATCTGACCCCAAGTCTTAGTCTAAAATTACAGTAAACAAGGTATTATGGCACTGGTGAGGAGACAAACACATGAATGAACTAGAATAGAATACAGAAATAGACCCACACATACATGGACAACTGCTTTGTTTTTATCAAATGTACATCACGATGGTTCAATAGTCCCCCTTCCCTACTTCCCACTACCCCAACTTCTCTTCCCCTTGGTAACCTCTAGTCACTTCTCAGTGTCCATGAGTATAATGCTGTTGTGTTCCTTCAGTTTTGCTTTCTTGTTATATTCCACAAATGAGTGAAATCATATGGTATTTGTCTTTCTCCATCTGGCTTATTTCACTGAGCATAATACCTTCTAGATCCATCCATGTTGTTGCAAATGACAGGATTTCTTTTCTTTTTATGGCTGAAAAATATTCCACTGCTTATATGTACCACTTCTTCTTTATCCAGTCATTTGTTGATGGACACATAGGTTGCTTCCATATTTTGGCTATTGCAAACAGTGTGGCAATAAACATAGGGGTGTGTATGTCTTTTTGAATCAGGGAGTTTGTTTTCTTTGGGTACATTCCTAGGAGTGAAATTATGAGGTCAAATGGAATTTCCATTTTTTTTTGTTTTTTTGAGGAAACTCCATACTGTTTTCCACAGTGGCTGCACCAATTTTCAGTCCCACCAATTGTGTATTTCTCCACACCCTCGCCAGCATTTGTTATTTCTTGTCTTTTGGATAGTGGCCATTCTAACTGGTGTGAGGTAATATCTCATTGTGGTTTTGATTTGCAATTCCCTGATGATTAGTGATGTGGACCATCTTTTCATGTGTCTGTTGGCCATTTATATTTCTTCTTTGGAGAAGTGTCTGTTCAGGTCCTCTGCCCATTTTTTGGTTGGGTTATTTATTTTTTGGGTGTTGAGGCTTATGAGTTCTTTATATATTTTGGATGTTAACCCCTTATTAAATATGTCATTTATGAATATATTTTTCCATACTTTAGGATGCCTTTTCATGTCCTTTCCTGTACAGAAGCTTTTTAGTTTGGTATAGTCCCACTTGTTCATTTTTTATTTTGTCTCCCTTGCCTAAGGAGATTTGTTAGGAAAAAGTTGCTCATGTTTATATTCAAGAGATTTTTGCTTACATTTTCTTCTAAGAGTTTTATGGTTTCATGACTTACATTCAGGTCTTGGATCCATTTTGAGTTTACTTTTGCGTATGGAGCTAGACAATCCAGTTTCATTCTCTTATATGTAGCTGCCCAGTTTTGCCAACACCAGCTGTTGAAAAGGCTGTCATTACCCGTTGTATATTCATGGCTCCTTTATCATATACTAATTGACCATAGATGTATGGGTCTATATCTGGGCTCTCCATTCTGTTCCACTGATCTATGGGTCTGTTCTTTTGCCAGTACAAAATTGTTGTAATAACTGTAGCTTTGTAGTAGAGCTTCAAGTCAGGGAGAGTAATCCCCCCAGTTTTGTTCTTCCTTCTCAAGATTGCCGTGGCCACTCACGGCCGCCTGTGGTTTCATATGAATTTTAGGACTATTTGTTCTAGTTCATTGAAGAATGCTGTTAGTATTTTGATAGCGATTGCATTGAATCTGTAAACTGCTCTGGGCACAATGGCCCTTTTGACAATATTAATTCTTCATACCCATGAGCACAGGATAGATTTCCATCTTTTGGTGTCTTCCTCAGTTTCTCTGAGTATCCTGTACTCCTCAGAGTACAGGTCTTTCACCTTGTTGTTTAGGTTTATTCTTAGGTATTTTATTCTTTTTGATGCAATTGTAAATAGAGTTGTTTTCTTGATTTCTCTTTCTGCTAGTCCATTGTTAGTATATAGGAATGCAACAGATTGCTGTGTATTCATTTTGTATCCTGCAACTCTGCTGAATTTAGTTATTAGTTCTAGTAGTCTTTTGGTTAATTCTTTAGAGTTTTCTATATATACTATCATGTCATCTTCAAACAGTAAATTTAACTTCTTCCTTACCAATTTGGATGCCTTTTATCTCTGTATTGTCTGATTGCTGTGGTGAGGACCTCTAGTACTTTGCTGAATAAAAGTGGTGAGAGTATTTGTCTTGTTCCTGATCTTATAGAAAATTCTTTCAGCTTTTCACTATTAAGCATGATATTAGTGTGGGTTTGTCATATATGGCCTTTATTATGTTGAGGTACATACTCTCTATACCCATTTTGTCAAGAGTTTTTTTCATGAATGGATGTTGAATTTGGTCAAATGGTTTTTCAACATCTATTGACATGATCATATGGTTTTTATCCTTCTTCTGTTAATGTGGTGTATGGTATTAATGGATTTACAAATATCGTACCATCCTTGCATCCCTAGAATAAATCTCACTTGGTCATGATGGATGATCTTTTTGATGTATTTTTGGATTCGTTTTGCTAATATTTTGTTCAAGATTTTTGCATCTATGTTCATCAGGGATATTGGTCTGTAATTTTCTTTGTATGTTGTCTTTGTCTGGTTTTGGTATTAGAGTGATGCTGTCCTCATAGAATGAGTTTGGAAGTATTCCCTCCTCTTCTACTTTTTGGAATGCTTTAGGAGGATGGGAACTAGCTCTTCTTTAAATGTTTGGTAGAATTCAGCTGTGAAGCCATCTGGAAATGGAATTTTGTTTATGGGGAGCTTTTTGATTACTAGTCCAATTTCATTGCTGGTAAATAATCTGTTCAGATTTTTTGT